CACTGTGATATTTCCGGTTTTCTAAGGAAGCAGCTCAAAATCCTAGACAGATTACTGACGCAATTATCTCGGTATAGTCGACTTTCAAAGCCGACCTGTGTTGAGATTCCTGTGTTCACACAAATCCATGAATAGGGATTGCTTCGAGAATACTAACTGATACGAGTCACGCTCTTCATGTTGCACTGTCTGAGTGTGTATTAACATCCTCAACCAGACCAAAGTATAGGTTCATTTTTGTCCACACTAGGGCTTACCACTCATCCGTTATTCCATATATGGCACGTTTTTTATATGACCAAACAACAGTTGTCCTGGTGCTTAAAAACCACTTTGCATCGTAACCATATTGCTGTTTATGCCACTTATTACTCTATTTGGATATTTACGGCTTTATCTCTTGTACTATGCTGAAAGCATAAAGCACTATCTTCAATTGTATTGTAATATTGTGATAGTTCTTGGGGACATGCTTTCGATTTTCATTTATGGCCATCCCTTCCCCATCTCTGGCGATAAATTTGTTTGGATAGCCCTTAGAATGTAGAATAGACGGAACATGTTGTAATTCTGTTTGGATTGGCTCTTGCGAGCATATTCGGTGAGTTCGTACAGAACGAGTCCAAACTAGGGATCGTTTGTAGTTCAAAGTACAGGTACTGTTAACTTGTACATGCTGTCCAGTCCAGCTCGGTTTACGATCAATTGATCTTATGAGCGAAACATCCCTTCATCTCTTCAACTCAAGAAAATGAGACGAAGCCCATACCTCACTTTCCACATTTGGCTTGATTTCAACATGGCAGCTTTTTAACATTTCCAAAAGGATTTTCCCTTGATGGGCCGGGCCCCAGTAAGGCGAAACGCGTCTGGTGCTTTTCTGGACTAGGCTGTGCTATGTAGCTTGTCAGCGGCTGGGACGAAAACATTACAATTAAAATCCTCTTACTTATTAGTGATATTACAAATGTGTTGTCAACGTACCCTGCGCAAAAGTGTGTCGCTTCAATGGCGTGGCGTAATTGCTATTCTCAAGATAACCTACTCGTCACCCATGACCTTTACCGTGTCGGCCATACCCCTCTACAGCACTGATACAAGTTAACGCAGTAGGGGGGATGAATCCCGCACGAATGTCGAAACCAGCCATGCAACACCCAACGTCTGACATTGTGTCACTGATTAACTGTTAGGCTAAGCTGTAGACTTTTCAAAAGGAGCTGGTGTTTCAGATAACTGTGTTTAAGAGGTCAAAGTCCACTGTATCTGACTCCATTTGGCATTCCAATGGCATCCTTCCATTCACCATGAGATTGTCGTGGATTTACATTCGAATGCTCTCGTGGATGTGTTAGTGTTATCACGATAATCTCTGCCAACACATCAGTGGGAAACACAGCCTATCGTCCGTCTCCTCAAGAGTGGTCCAAACAGAAAGCGGTTCACTACGGACAAACCTGCCACATCGTGACAGTTAACGAAATGTTCGATAAAACTTTAAGAATGATCTGAACCATTTTTCCAAATTTCTATGACTGATAGGTAAGCTTCGTCCTAACTACCTGAATAACCACGGCCTGTTAATCGCAAGGGCCAGGTAAACGTCTGAGTATTGACCCCGTCTACACTGTTACTATTCCACTACTTGACAAGTTGGATGAAACCGACCGGATATCTCACAAATGGTTTCTAAAAGCACGGAAACAATTATGTGGCTAGAACGACTCGGGAGAAGGGCAGAGGGTGTATTGCCACAATCATGTGTTACTAAGACCGCACAAACCAGTACAGATATTGACCGGGTTTCCTTTCTACGACGCGACGCGGATGAGGGTTTTTATGACCGGCTGTTCCATGTACCTACGAGCTGGAGCTTTGGAACTATCCCTCCAAGTTTTCCTCCCATTTCACCGCTTTGCTGTCTTCGATGCTGGCCAACCAGGAGTAGTTCGAAAGCATGCAATTTGCTTTCCCGTGGCTGCATCATTCACCCTGCGTTCAGTCCTTCAGGCTTTGCTAGAGGCGTATATGTCTGATTCACTGCGTTCTCGACGAATGCCTCCTTTGTTCTGGGCCCAGGCTCGTTACCAGACATTTCTTTTGATCCGGTGTCGGCTCGATTAGCAAGGCTCGTACTGCCTTGTCTAATGTTATCCATTGCACACGTTGGTAATTCCCTACTACCCAGTTTTTGCTGTCTTTCCAGTTCAGGAGTATTTGTTGGATTTCGCCGCCCTACAATTAGAGCCATAGACCAAATATCGTGTTCGCCATCTCCATATCTCAGTGGATATGTCAAGTGTTCATTACTATTCCATACTCCCCATTTTCGTTGTACTATCCAACCATGTGTACCAGACCAGTTACCGTTCTTGAGTCATGCCAACCATCTTACTAATTCCGTAAAGGAAGCTGGTCCTCTTTGTTAAAGACTGGAAACCAACACTTTGACGTGCTGCAGAGGGCATTCAGGCGCTTTGATCCGTTTGACTGTTCGTGGTTGCTTAACACATACTTGCGGCCTCATGTAGAATACGTAAAACAGGTCTGACAGCCGTGACACAAGAGGAAAGTAGCAGCGCTCGAGACACCAAACACGTCTAAGAGTTGTTTCATCTTCCATATCAACTTAGGGGGTCATTATCAGCGCCTACGTGGTGACTTAATGATGGCCTACCAGGTTTTGAGGAATCCCAACCAGGCCTGCAGTCACCCACCGCAACTTATTCACAACACGAATTTGAGGGGCCACCAGCTCAAGTTGACCACGCCATACAGTCGATTAAGATATCGGCGAAACTTTTACTCTCTTCATAGCTGCGTAACATGGAATGTCCTCCCCGATTACATTGTCTCCGTGCGCACTTTTTCTGGGTTTAAGATCGCATTGACGTTGTCCTAACCCACCTTTACATTACGAGACATAGCCTGTGTACATCGGAAGTCAGCGTTAAGATACACCATTGGGATTGGTTATTTAGGTAGGCCTTTGTGTGAATACTGGTGAGTCCGTCAAAAGATGTTCCCTTTATTTGTCTGGTTTCATCAAATGGTGTTTTTCACTCCGACCATCCCACGGGACATGCTAAGCATTTGTCTTTGTACCTATAACATGCCATTATTCTATTGTTTCATTGAGACCAATATTCCAAACAACAGGGTTAGGAGACGATATTCTCCTTCCTATTCTTATTATTCTTAGTTGGAATCATAAAAGAATTTTCATATTGTACTTGCCAGCATTTCATTTTTGCTCCGACACTATAAGCCTCATAACACATAAATGAACAATGGAGATCTCAAGTAACATTTAGATGCATTGCATCTTGGCATTTTATGGATCCAGAAGTATCTAACAAATTCAAAACCAAGTGCATGCAACTAGCTGTTGTATCATGACTCCGCGACTAGTTTTGCCCTACCTACTACATTTCTGACTGGGTCCAGAAGCAAAGTCGCAAGCCATGCAAACTACTGCTAAAGTATTGGACAAATTCTACGCAGTCTCTGTCAGCGCTGAAGTCTTTAAAATCACCGCCTATATCATCCTCCTTGATTACTGAGGTTACATTTATGGCAACTTGGAGAAAATTGACATATAAGATCTGTAACAACTACATCGATCACAGACTAACTCCACATTTGCTGAAGATTCTATTCAGAAGAGGTCTCAACGTTTTCATCTATTTCAACTCCAGCCACTTTGGTTGAGAAACTGTTGTATATGTTACTGCTTCTTTGCAATCTGACGTATCAAAAAGCACTCCGATGCCATTACATATAACTGTGGCATAATTTAACCGGGGAAATTATTAACAAAGAGTATCCACTAGTGGGATCAGAGCTGAAGACCTATGTATGGTAATTTGTTTCTACTCATCTATACAGCTCTAGGAACTAGGTTGTCAGAGAAATTCAGATTGCGTAAAATTAAGGCAAAATTATGTTCACAATTGGAAAGTTACCTTGAGCCAGACACAAATTTGATCATGACCACATCTTAAAATGCGCCTAAGCAATTGTTCCAAAATTGAAGCAACTATCTGATGTGAGAAAACAAATATTTTTCACAGATAACGAACTCTTATAGTTTTTGGCAGAATGTGACAGAAATGAATCATTTTCTATCAGGGAATTCTAGAAACATAAATTTCTATTTGGTAAGGAAAGCTCCGACAAGATATTGCGATTTTTCATGCAAGCACCCATTCTTCACGCCCCAGACATTTCAGAAACAAAGTAACATAGGGGTGTGTTATTAGACGCCCGTCAACTGGGCATGTCAAGCACCCAGAGCATACACAAATTGTCCACACTCTCCACTTTGGCTTCCGCCATGCAGCGCTTCGTTAGAACAGAGCGTACCGAATCACTTGCTGGGAAAAGTACATGTTTGCGCATAAATGCTCCCCCAACAAAGTATCACTAGTGGAATTTCACGACCATATATGCGCGAAGCGTCCATGCGATTTATATGCGCAGCTTCTCTCGTGCCTGAGAAAGTTAGCTATTATCATTAGTACTAACACGACGGTTATTCGACTGGGAAGGTCATGAAGTAGACAAACGGTGCGTTAATATGTTAATTACGTGACATCGCTGCTTATGCGATCATCGCCTGAGTTCATCACTTCGGCATATATACCTATGCTCTCGCAGCTCTCAATATCACTAACTTAAGGGGTACTGTTCCCTTTAATTTACACATGCTTTCTAGTACCATGATACACCGTGAGCACGATATGTTGTCGGGAACAGCCAGCTGGTTGTAGTGACATTCGATTCCTCTCTCCAGTTGTCACACGACATAGCTTGACCTAAAAGCCCTTGATGGCATACCCTACTTGAGAAATTCCGTGAATAATGACGACTCTATACGGACATTCAAGCATGTTAATGGACAACTGTATCTGACAGGCAGTAATGGTCCACTGGTGGATATAAATACGGGTGTTAACCAAAGATTGTGGAGTAGCGCGGGGAAAATGACCGCAAGTTACATGAGTCTTGCTGCGTTTTCCTACTTCCTTGGCTACTTGTGGTTGGCTAGCACAAATTTCGCATATGTTGAAGAAGATATCCAGAATGTGAGCGGATACAGACACGATCTGGGATGGCTGAGCAACCACCGTACATATCTGTTCAATCTGGCTCACCGTGCTTACTTTTCTCAGGCTGGTACCAGACATTTGAGGCTCTCCAGCGTCGGACACTTGTCCAAAGTGAATGGTAACTTACTCAACCAGGTGGAATCTAAAGCGGCACATCATCAAGGCCAACCAATGCTTCCGGTACGTTCTGCAAGCTAAATATGCTAAGTGTACTTTTGTGACGACTGTTAGAAACTAGTAATTCAAATCCTTGTTGTTAGCTGTGCACGATAAGCTAGCTTAATTAGTTTTCATGAACTGCAGCCAGTTTAAGTGTGCTTCTGAGGAGTCGGATTAATCGCAGCTACATGTTAAGACTCGCATTCAAGGTGTTCCGATGGCACAACCATGACAGGTTTCATTATTCGGATGTAGCCTTCACACTTTTTTGATCTACTGTGAATCTCCGCTTGTCTATAAGGTTATAAAACACAGCCAAGGACCTTGGTGGCTAAGTAAAATCTGGTAGAATAACCTAAGGTTAGGTATTATTTCTCAAACGCCTACAAACAAATCGCTGTGGTACACCAGTCGTAATGTGCAGCTCAGGATAGGAACAAATTGATCAGGTGTGTCCTTTTAGCAATTGCGGAACTAACACCCAGTGGCTGGCTCCTAGACGGATCAAAACACGTCAGACAAACGGAAGGCGGAACGGTATGCTTACCAGCATGTTGTACAGCGCAAAGATCTAACATTCTAAATTAGGCCAATCGATGAGTGGGTGAGTGAGTTACTGACACACGCCATTAGAAGCAGGCAACGAATAGGAAAGATTCAGTACATTGGCCAAAAGGATGTCACAATATGCTTATTTATTGCAAAGCCAATGAGGCGGAAAACTTTGTTATGTATGTTCTGTCACCAATTACCTTGTCCACAGTGATGTAGGTGATGAACAGTTGTGTCCACACAAATCTCCATCCTGAAATATAGTTACTACCTAAACATCGCACACGGTTTTGAACCTAATATGTGTGTTGGTAAGTGATGCCAGCGGTTTGACAGAGTAGTCATGTTCAGTAGCACGAGATATGTATCCACTGGATTATTAGTTCATGCTTTCGTTAAGTTTTGCATACAATTAGATTTGTTAAAGGTTGCTCGCAGCTGGATACAGTAAGGCAGCCACCAAATGTGTAGGAATGCGCTAGGCGGCCTTTTCTTTCTGGTAGGAGTGTGCATCCGTCAGATCCTCCTAGATCCGAAATTATGACTTGCTCTCACTAGTCAATAAGCTAAGCCACTGACTCATAGGTGATAGTGATAAATTCAGCGATATACTTTGCACTTTCATAACATGCGAGAAAATGGAGGATTAGTCGCGCTATTTCGCACTTAGAAACCATCCATTACATTTCACTGCTCTTTCCCACAACTCAATGCCATGAAGCACTGACTCATAAATGCGTACGAGAAAGCCGCATCCTGCAGATGCTCGCTGTTGAGGAGTTACTATAGGACAAAACTGCTGCTTAGCGCTTTCCGCATGTGCGGTATACACCTGGTCCACTCTGGCTGATGATAACCTCCACAAAATGACAATAAATCTGTAACACCAATTCGGAAACGGTCCTTATGGTCGTTATGACCGAGGTCTACCGCTCACACAGCGGGTACACCAGATGGAATTTTGAAACCCCACCCCATTTTATTACGGATTTTCTATAAGCTTGTACATGTTTGATTTTCTGGTCTCCAGCGCTCTGTAACATCTTAGGTGGGATGCACATGGTTGCAGTTACCTGACACGATGTAGTTCTAGGACAGTCTGTTTTACACCTATCGCTTAGATTTTTATGTCAAAACTGATCTGATAAGTGACGCTAATTTGTAGTTACACGATGGAAAATTTTAAGATGCTTGACAATACTAGGTCTTAGTGAAGCAATAATGAGTAAAATAAAATTTGAAAACAAACAAATTAGTTTGGGGCAAAGACTTAAAAACATATTACTGCGCTTCAGTATATTTATTCGGAAATCATCAGTTCTGCTTACTGTGCCATCGTTAAACGATTGACAGCATGCTTTTACTCAATTCGAAATAACTATCAGGTTAGTCATTATTATCTGTTATTTCTAGACATATACGCGGTATCAACAGACTAATAAATAAAGAGCAACAAAACCACGAAAATAGGCAGATGACAGATAGTGTCGCGGCAGCATAACCATAATGGCCATTGGTAGGACACACTTCAGCTGGTGTGCCGCAAGAAGAAAGGAATCAGTTTTGTTACTTTCCATATGCCGTTATCCTTAATTATTTTTAATTGTTAAGCGTTCAGCTGCTAAACCTGGACAAGTATGTTGCGAGTTTGCGCCATATCCGGAATTATTTTTGGCCATCGTCTCTCTTCGTCAGTAGGTCCCCAACCACGCAGGCTTATGGATGCAACGGCAACAAGACGTGAAGTCAATGGAAAAATATTTTGTCGCCAGATGGATGGTCGACTACAGTGTGATCTCTTGCAGCCGACTTCTGCATGCGCAAAGATGGGGCGATAGGGCAAACGCTCACCTGACGTGCGCAGAACGCAACCGAACCAGCTTAATTAGCGCAGTTAACCCAGCTTGTTGAAGGAAAAACTCACATTCCATAAGACACGACGTCTGACTCCAGGGTTTCCGCTACTTTGTTGCCACCACACATGAGCAATTCTCCTTAAGCACCTATTATGGAACGTCGAGTGCCAGTGCATGACATTTACGCGAATGAATCATGACTCACTGCCATGTGGTAACAACATCGGAACACTGACATTTCAAACACGACCATACACCAAGAGCGAGATATCTAGACGACGTCAAAGTGCTGCACGTTAACAAAAGAGGACAGGACTTTGCCGAAGCAGTGCCAGCGCTACCAGCATACACGCGGCTGCCTAGGTATACAAAGCTGTCAGCGTATTCAAGCTGTGCACCCTCAAGAGTGAGCACAGAAACGGGCCATTGCCAATTCCGGATCAGCATTTCGCATTTCGACGGGCGAAGCACATTCCGTACTTAGAAGCATCAAACAGCAAAGGGTTTAAAATGGTTTACATACTCTGCTTGTCGTCAGGAGGCAAAGCAATTTCACTGACATATTCTAAGTTGGTTGCTCACTTATCCGGTAACAGTTGCTGTCCAATATTTTGAAAACCCTCCGGAGCTCCTAACAGGACGTCTCCAATAGCAAAATTAATGAGGAATGGGGATATATGGCTATCCGATTGTACGCCGCTTTTGATGGCGAGCGACTAGGAAAACTTGTCACAGACCCTCACGCCATCGCAGGCGTGGAGATAGAATGCCAGCGGAGTATCAGTATAATTTTCTGGGACTCCGTTCCTCAGCGATCAACGCCATAGCGCAGGTCGACCCACGAAGCTGAACGTAGCACAGATGTCTAGGAATGCAACAATGTAGGATCTCTGGTAGAGGTGACGGTGTTCGAGAATTTGGTTGAATGTGTATGTTTGATCCACACACCGATGGTCAGGACAGAAACCAGCTTGTTCAGCCTGGTACTGTGGTTCAGGAAGTGGGGGTAATCTACGAAGTAGCATGGATGCCAATAGCTTGGAGGTAACTGAGGTGAGACTAATACTTCAGTGATTTATGCGAGCACCTTTCTTAAAACTGAGAACAATAAGAGCTTCTTCCCAGTAAGAAGGCACGGTTTATTTATGTCAGATTTTGGAGAGAAATATGGTTATCTGACTGATGATAACTGCGACATCACAGTTGTATAGCTCCAGAAGGAATTCGTTTGAACTGGCAGCCTTGCAACGCCGCAAATATTGAATCGCAAGGCAAACTTCGGCTTTACTTAGTGGATCATGTGTAAGGATCCAGGTTGGGCATGTACATTTCGAGAACCAACTGAACTGGGAAGGAGGATATTTGGCCTATCGAACCAGGCGTCTCTGTCGGTTAGCAATCTGCCAACTGTCAGCTTTGCAAATAGTTTCACGGCCACCGGGCTTCTTGTATCCAGTGAAACGAATGAGCTGGAAGAGCTTGCGAATATTGCCAGAGAGGGCAGCGACTTCAGTTCCCGAATCACGCAGATTCCACCAAGATTCGCAATCACTGCATCGACTTTATTTGAGCTGACTACTGATAGAAAGGTGCACTTCAGCTTAGTTAAACTCTACTGGGATATCTCTGCGGCAGGCAAATATATTCCCGCAACGCTTGGAGATTCAGGTCTTCATCGATTGTTGAATAAGACCCCGCATTGACAGTCCGGAAGCGATCACGGTCTACTCTAAGAACGTCCAGAGTCCATCAATGTTTTGTAGGGTGTCGCGGTTGATTGCGTTGACCAGGAGGATTGATAGCTCAGCTGAAGCGAGGGATTAGATCCACCTTTCAGCGCTACTTTTTCGGGGACCCTCGGAAAATCATTCAGGTGTTTGCACAAACAAGATGACGGTCCGGTTCGAGAGTATAGACCAGATGGATCTACAATCCTTTACAATATCTGGCCGTCAGTTACATTACAATGTTGTCAACCTGAGACCATAACAGAGTCGCAGAAGGTGGACGCCACGTAGTGGAATGTCTCCTCGAATCCCTGAAGCTAGTGCTTGAGTAAAACAATTTTTTGTCTTCACACAGTGTGAGAAGTCTTCCTCCATTATCTGAGCGGCTCTCATTCATCGCATGGTAAACTAGGGGGTGAATTTCACATGATGAATAACGAACAACCATACGTTGAGATTCCAAGCATGAACAACAATATGGGATTTACAAGCTCTGCTCAAGAACTGGGGGATGTTACGATAAAAATCGCACTCGACCGATCCCCAGTGCAGTAGGTTGGGACGGACGATGAGAGCACAAACAAGTCGTGTCTCCTCTCACGATGTCGCTTGATATAATACGATCTCCGAAGCAGAATAGCACACAGTCGGCTGCTGATTGTGAACCAGTCCATCACTGCGGCCTCAGCTTTGCCATTTAGTGCTACATCAACGCCAGTCAAGCTTGCGGCAGTTGGTTGTGTGCAACGAAGGTGAGGTAGATAAAATATGATTAGATGATCTGTAGGAACTTTTACCGCAGTCACAGTACTGGGATCTTGCAGTCCGGTATCCGAAAGACAGTAACCATCGACAGTGAGGAATTTCAAGGGGTGCGCTAACTCAT